TGAAAATGTCCGGGGTGCTTCATGTAAAATACCCCTAAATTTTAAAGATTTATTTCAAAGTCTCAAAACTTCGACTCGTGCCAGATGGACAGGGGTGTTTTCAATTTAGAAAAATCCTACGTATGGTTTATGCGCTAGTGATGTTCATTGATGGACACAGCCGGCAGTTTAAAAAACACAACATATTTTTTGTTACTAGGGCCCCCAAAACGTGTATTTCCATTGAATCTAAATCGATTTTCCGCAGCATTGTATAACTTTCTCTATACTACGTGTAATACTCCGTATATACATACGTATACGTGAAATTAAAAATCCAATTTAAAATTCTGCAATTAAACATTTTTAGACGTAACTGCGTTTCGAGAACGAAAACTGACAACGATTTTTTTCTTTGGTCACTTCTTGTGGACATTTATCCTCTCCGTTTTTCATGATTTTTCACAATTTTATTGTATCTTTTCTAATGCTAAGCTTACAAGAAACAATTGCACTAAAACCCTCATTATTTCATAACATTCTCCGCAGATAATGTAAAACCATTCATTACATTGTCAGCACTTATGTTCTCCTGAATATTCGTTTTCGAAACGCACACACTTCTCTCTCAATTTTATTTTCTGATACTCAATGGCATTGGGGTCTAGGATGCTTTTCTTCATTTAACCACAGTTTGCTAGTTGAAATCCGGTCTGCGGTGGTGAATGTTTGTAGTTGGAATGTGCCCAGTGCCATAGTCCGTTGTGACATGGAAGGAAGGTTTAGTGCCCGGCAAAAGTAAATCTCCTGTCTATGGACAGGGCTCTATCCTACACCCCTTCAGCCAGGAAATGACCTAAGTAATGGATAAATATGACAGAGATCGTTGCTGGGTCGCTCCCTGGCGAGCGTGGCAATTAAATAACATTTAGTTGCGTTGGGCGCCTATACACTGCCAAATTTGAAAATGGCCCAAAAATTCCTACCAAGTGAGGGGTGGGAAGTGAACATGTATCTAGAGTTTTCGGGACAATAAAAAAAATAAAACACACAAAAATAAAACAACAGTTTCTAATTGTAAAACAATTTTTTCCTGTTTCAGAAACTTAATTTTGATTATATTTAACTAACTTGGCTTCTATTGAAGTGGACGATTCACTTGAAAGAATCGAATGGGCCGATTTTTTACCTGAGCGGCAGTCACTTAGAAAGGGGTGAGACAATATTCCAATTCAAGGGAAGATTCAAGAAAGCAGATTATGTTCCAGTTTCTGTAAATCAAATAGTAACGTGCCATCTAACAGAAACAAGATACAAGCAAAATCTACCTTCAGGGATTATTTTTCCTGACTGTTTTTTATATTAGCTAGATATAATGGTTTTGGCAATTTTCTTGTTTGCGTGTTGAAATTAATCAGCAATTTTTAGAATAAAACTCAAAACGTGTTTACATTCTTCACAATCCTATCAATGGCCATCTCCCGAAAGAAAATTGTAATAAATGTTAATAATCATTACATACTTTAAACCAAATATTCACACCATATTTTTTTATTCTTCTCTGCATGGTTTTTCATGTATTACAAATTACTCTTTAATTAATTTTGTGATATTATTGCAAAACTTATGATTCCATAAAATAAGCAGGTATTAGCATTTAAGATATTCTCCATCTTTCTTCTTTTTATTTATTTATTTATTTATTTATTTACGTTTATTCTTCATTTCTTCGATATTCATAATAGTTCTGAATTTAGCACACCACACTATCATCCATAACACCATAACATCCTACTCATTAACTTACGAAATCATCAATCAGTTCTCAAAACAAATCATGATCCAGAATGTAACAGATCTACAATTCAAAGTTCAATGATATATCATAAATTGTAACGTCTTTCTGAGTGCTCCATCACAAGATAGTTTTGTACGAAGAAAGTACTGCATTTCTCCGACGCATAAATATTGTATAATGCAGATTAAGAGAAAATATTGAATTGCCTATGAAATGTAATGGTATAAATGTTCCTTGATTATGAGAATCCACTCACTTAAATTACCATTATTACAAATGAATAATTGGTTATTTCTTTTGTTACCCTATAAGCAACGTCTGCAAAATTTTACATAAAAATATTAATTATAGTTTTGTTAACTATTGAATTTTTGGCACAATTAGTTTTCTCTCTATTATGTTCATTGAATGTAAGATATATTCAATGAATTTGAGAGATAAAAAATCATGCTCTCGTATGCCTTGTCAATGCATTGAATGCATTTTAATATTCTCCCCCTCTCCTGGCTACTGCTTCCTTCTTAGAGTGTTCTAGTTATTTGACAAAAAATTTAAAGCACATTTGAATCTTCAAAATGTTCAAGTGCCTACGAAAACTGTCTGTCTGTGCCACTAAAGGACCAAGGCGCAAGAATTGATATTACAGTTTTTGACAAAACTTTATCAACGCGCCTCGAAACTCGACAAGCGTGCTTCAAAGCGTCTCCGAAATATTAACAGGAGCGTGTCTTTTGCACTATTTCTTTGTCATATACGAAAACTATCACCCTCCTCTTTTAAACGGGTTCCAGCTAGTATCATTCAAATAGAAGAGTTTCTAGAAAAAAAGCATTAGTCCAAAATTAAGAAGTGCTACCATATTGTAGGGTGAAATTTTATCGACTCGGTCTAAAGTGTATTAGTCTCAAAGAAAACGAGCGAAGAAAATTAAGGAAAAACAAAGATTTTGGAAGAACATATGTCTAGAGTTTCCGCCAAAAGCAGGGGTCAGGGACTAATGAATATGACAACAGTGGTGTGATGAATGATCCTTCCTCTGACGCAGCTTCCAGCAGTTCTTTCTAGTTTTTAATAGTTTTTATTGCAGGTTTAGTCAGAAACCCACTAAAAACCGAAAAAGTTGAATTTTGCTGAAAATGGTACGCAATTATCCCACTCCAACTTAATTAAATCTTTGTCAAATCGAATGAGAGTTGTTTTTTAGCGGGTTGGACCGGAACTGAATACGTAGAAGTAGCTTTGAATAGGCGAAGATGATTTATGGGAAGGAAGATATCACCGACAAGTAACACTAAAGAACAGTAGTAAAGAGTAAGGGAGTCGACGTAGTTGACACGTATGCTACTTACATTTACGCCAGAAATTCGATCGCTAAACTACATTATGACAAAGGTCTTTATTCTTTCGTAATTTCTAATTGCGTTAGAAACTTGAGTTTCTACGCCACTATTTTCAAAGATTCTGACTCTTGAACTTTTCAAAGATATGCTGACCGGTTATTCAGCATTAAGCAATATTACAACTGGTATTAGAGACAAACAATCAACATTTATTGGTTTTGCAATTAAACAAATTTCAAAGATAGGGTAAAGAGCCCAGAATCAAGAATTTGAAGGAAAGGTCAGAAAAAACAGTATTTTTGCTCCAGGTTCAAGTACTTTTGTTCGAATTCCTTTCCTTATAGCACATTTCTGCTTTCCTTCAGGAGTCGCCAAAGCAAACATACGAAGCATGGAAAAGTCGAGAGAGCTAAGTGCCAATTCTTTTTCGGGAAATAAATAAAAACTGTATGAATTCGTATTCTTAGCATACATCTAGAGTCATCACGAGGCAGATGTTACAATTACTTGGAAGGTGTTTCGAACATCGCTCTTTTACCAGTGTATTGGCACCGTTTTTATTAATATTTAGATGTCAAAACCATCGTTTTGAAAATGTTGGTACTTAGCTCCTCTTTGTTTGTAGCATCTCTACATATACTTTGTTTATACTGTTTGCAATAGTTAATATATATTTTCATTAAGGAGTTGTAGAATTCAATAATAGTTGCATTAGTGTTTTACTTAAGTAATTTACTTCACTACCAATTCTCCGACAAAAAAAAGAGTATTGTGAAGCCCTGTTACCGAAAAAGAAGAAAATCTAGTTCCTATGCGTAGTAAATTATTTGCCCTCTAACACGTGAAGTGACAACCCATGTTCTGTTGGTCTTTGTTATGAAAAAATTAGATGATGGCAAAACGTCAGTTTCTCTGACTGTCCGTCGAATCTGTGGTTAACGCTAGTGCAAGACGATTTTCTATAAAATTGATATTCCACGTTCGATATGCACGTACTGCGAGTTTGAAAAGGGGATTTTGATTTTTTAGGAGGGGTGTCATTTCATGAAGCCTGAACAACATTTTCAAATTTTCCTAAAAAATGACTCAATTTTTACTTTCTCGCCTTACTCCGTAAAAAGAGAAATATTGTAATCGTGCACCAGAAATCGGTGTTTTTCCACAGAACAACTGTAATTGTCGGACGCTTGTAACGAAAAGGTGGATAAACCTTGTTCATATATGTAAAAAATTACTTCCTCTATCAGGTTGTATAGTCAGGATCCTTGTTTTGTGGATATTTGATACCAAAAATTTGATTGACGGCATTTCACTGTCCGTCTGTCTGTCTGTGATCAACGCTGGTGCCTAAGCCATTCAGACCATTTTCTCCAAAATTGACAATTTCCCCGATCGATCTAAGCGAAGAGTTTGAAACGGATATTTTGTTTTTTGGGGTTACTTTATATGAAGCATCAACAACTTTTCCAAAACTTTCTCAAAATACCTTTTTCATTAAATTTTTGTCCTCAGAACAGAACAACTCTTTAAAAATGGCACTATCTCATATTGGTTGAAACCCCTAATGTCACGAAAATTGCAAATGTCCAGAATGTTTTCGGTGTCATCCTGCAGCTATATTTAGTTTATTTAGAAAAGAAAACTCCTTACTGAATTTCATACTTAGAAACTGCTACAAAGTTATTAATGGATTTTGAACTGTAGCACTTCGGCATCTGTGAACAAAATAATACTCACGATCTCCTTTTCAAACTAATTAATTGTTACCGAGAGTACGCGAATTTGGTGTAATAAATAATTATTTTTGAATAATTATTTATTTTTCACGGAGGTATTGATTGTTACTCTGATGCAGAACATTCAGAAGAGGATCCGATTTTTGGCAGGTTTTAGAGCAGGTAAAGGTGGCGCATCGCCGAAGACCGCATCACTCGGCAATATATTCTTCCGCCGGTCACATGAGTCGAGCGCCAGCAGCTGATAATGCCTCCAAGTGTCTCTTCAGTACGTGCAGTTAGAACTTACGGATTGTTTTCAAGACTGATTTACGTTGTTCGGATATCGACACGAAAAAGTATATAGTAAGAATTGAAACAGATAATGTGAAAACAAAGTAAGTACTGCCACTTTTCGACCTTAAAGAATTATATCAATATTAGTACTTTCCTATTTTTATTTCTATTGTTTTTAACAACTTTAAGTCGTTAACATCTAATCAAATAAGACATTCAAATACTGAATTGACTAGGAAACATAGATCATTTCCGATTTTTACCAAAATTTTATTTTCATTGTGTCGATTTTACGATCTGGGAACAACAGCAGATGATCTTCCACAAATCTCAGAATGAACTCTTTTGGTTCATCAACACTTAAGAGGTCGTTGAAACCTTTCGCACTATCTTGCTTTGCCTATCTTCACTAATCTCTCTGTCGTATTGTTGTAACATGAAGAATTTTAATTCCTCTTCGGCCATTAGGTACGACATACTATTTTTTGGCCAAGTAGTAGGTTTTGTGTAAGAAACTTAACTATGTAACTTTTCACTGAAATAAATGTCTGGTATAAAAATAATAAATACTACTGTGGCGTCGTTAACACGAGGGCCAGAACCGTTAGGTCGGTGAAAGTACGCTGCGGGGGAGGAAGGGGTTGAGCCTGAACATCCGGGAGTTTGCGCTCGGGCGGTTGACTCAGGTAGTGCCGCAGAGCCAAAAATACCGGAGGCTGTAAACTCCGAGGATGCTGCCGGCGAGCCTCGTTTACGGAAGCAGGCAGCCAACCTGAGAACCCTGTGTGTGGGCGTTAACCAAACCTGCGAGTCTCGCGCCAGCCGGCGAGCCTACCTATGGAACAGTGGTGGGGGTGTCAGCCTCAACTATTTAACGCGGCGCCATCTGCGGCCGCGTTCTCATTCAGTTTGCATCGGGAAGCTTGTACGTGTATGTACGAGGTGTGTAGGAGTGAGGGCGAGATGTCCGGAGAGTAAGGGCCAGACGATCTCGCGTGCTGTAGGCACACGGTCGCCACGACCGGGTTATATTTTGGCGTCAGGCCATGTGACGGTAATTGTCACGGGACCGAGGTCCGACAGCGCGCATCACGCGTGGCTTGTATTTTTTCTGCGGTAAAGCAGTGTTCTGAAAGAAAAAGGTTGCCGGAGTGTTTTAATATTAGCAATTCATTGTAACTTGTACATAATCTTTAATATATTATTTTTCTTTTGTTATTGAAATTTATTTCTTATTTCACTACGTCACACTACAGTCATACATAATTTTGACGATAAACATATCGTTTCAGCATAGCAGTTTCTCGACAACTTACCTTGTTTCATAACACCCAGAAACGTGAGCTTATGTCGAGCAGAATTAGTAAGCATTCGGATAAAAAATCCACTTTGTAAGAATAGGATCATAAATACGCAAATGGGTAAGTTAATGAGATTGGGAAGCGAACAAAGACAGTTATAATGATTCGGAGCACAACAAAATTGTCAGTCTCCTGCAATTTGAACCTAACGGCAATGCATGTTTCCGGATTCTACGTAGATGGCCTACAAGAGCAATCCTGGATTTGGTTTTAATATGAAGTATTTTCAAATGGGTATGGATATTGACCGTTTATAAAGCGCTTTCTCCCTACCTCACGTTCGAGTCCACGCCCCCACTATACCTATCAACGCGATGCCCTTGATGCCTCGGGTGGCGCTTTCATTTTATCTGTTGTGCTTTCGACGTGTACATATAAACACGGCTCTTCTGCAAAAGTTTCCAAGTGCTTTTGTCGGTTCCAGTTGAGCAATTTCATGGCGCAATTTCTGCATTTTACTGTTTAAGTCAAGGTTAGTGTTATTATTATTTTTATAATATTTCACACGAATTGAAAATATCGTTGTATATTTTTGTGCTAAAAGAATGTAATATTAAACAATTTTAAATCACAAAGCAAGAGATCAAGAGGCGTTCCATATTTTATATTAATAATTAAACATGCCTCGATTATATCTTGGCATGTCGCTTGCCTAAATACAATCCATTCCCGTAAGCAATATTCCATTGAGGTGTTCAAAACCATATATCTCATGTATTATATTTCTTAGTATATTCGATGTAACTCAGATGGTAAATTTTTTATTAATACGAATTCTGACTGTTTTTCTCTTTTCACATCACTGAGACTGAGAAAACGTATTAAATAAGACACTGAAAAAATATATTCTACGATAAATAATATTCGTAATAATTATAATAATTTATTAATCAACATCTGTGATATTTGGGTGCAAGTAGAGTAGTTTTACCGTTATAATCGGACAAGAAAGGGTATAAAATAGTTATATTGATATTAAGTGCGTGAAGCGATTTTTTTTGTTTATTTGTTGTTGTTTTTTGCGGGATGAAACTGAATTTTTTGTGCAGAGCGATGGGACAAGAAAAAAACGAGATTTTTCTAGAAACAATAGTTTTGCTTAAAAATTATAAAAACATTCTAAGATAGTAAAACATTAGTATAAACATGCTTCTATTATGAATATGCTTTATATCATCTCTAGTCTTCACAATTATCGAAAAAATCACCATCTTCACCATGTTGGAGACGAAAAATCCTTTTAAATCATGCCGCCACGTTTTCCACATATCTTAAGAAACTACTAACTTCACGCACGCGTAGCTGTACACAATTTCACTCATTTTTAAAGGATCTTAGACAAAAGGTATCGTAATTTCCCTGTATGTAATTTCTCTCATTCTTATACGATCGTACAAAATGTTCATGCACATACCTTTCCCAATTTTGTTCACTGAGTGCCGTAACCAAATTTTTCGAAGAAATATTCACGAGTAATTTGACGTACATCGTTTTGAGCTTCTTAAGATAAGTCACTTAAGAAATGATGGAACATTTTCTCTCCACAGTACGTAGAAATTACAATATTTCTTCAGGCACTAAATTTTACTAACGGTGCTGTTACAGTACATTCTTTCTCGCATTATTTTTTAACGGTTTCGTAGTATTATAATGCAACTGGAACATACATTTGTGTAATGTTGGACAAATTAAAAAATTACATCAAAATAACATTGATGTTGTATTATTTAGTGCAGTTATCTCTATTCACGCAAAAGATTTAAAGAAAAGTTTGAAGAGGTTTAGAGAAAATCTTGTTTTTAAAATTGCCTTTATTTCTCGCAAATTACGCAAATTAATATATATTTTGAAAAGGTTGAACAGAACCTTATTTAAATATCCATTATTTCGAAGAATATATTTTATTTATACGTACGGGGCAGATTTTAAGGAAATGTCTTTTTTTATTTGTGCTTTAAAACAATGCCGTTTAGTATAGAAATTTATTTTATGTTAAATCAAAACAAAATGACCCATTGTTATATGCCTTGTTTTGCATTTTTCGTCGATTTCTACTAACAAGTAATTTTTTACCTTTTTACGTAATTTTAATGCATTTTTGCTGATTTGTTTGATTTTAATGTAATGTTAATTGTACTTGCATTAAATATTTACGAAGTGCAACGAATGTTCACCACAGAATTCCTGAAAAGCATATTTGATTTCCTCGCTCAATTGTAATGTCAGTCGTGTGTACTTTGTAATCCAAGGTTCCTGTGACGCCTATCGGCGCCCTTGTGGATTTCGCGATAAATAAAAGCAGAAATCTTCTTTTAAAGAACAGTCCAAATCAAAAGTTTGCAAGCCAAGTTCACTTCAACAATAGGAAGTAGCCTCGATTACATCAGTAACATAACCAACAGCTTACGTTGTTCATCTGAATAGGTTTTGATAAAAAATTTACGTCACTTTTCTTCGTTTTTAGGATACTTTTAAAGGGTTTTAAGAGCATTTTATTGATCGTTTTTGGCAATCTTTTAGGTCATTCCCATCAAGGGTTTAGGTCATCCGCCCCTATTAATAAGAAATATTTTTATCCTTAATATTGTTGTTGTAGAAAGACGACAAACAAGTTTAAACTTATGCAATTTTCAGAATTTAGAGAATTCCTTGCATCATGACTGATCCATACCTCTATTTCGCAGTACAAGAGTTTTTTGTAAGTTCTAGAAAGGGAAATATACGAAGTCTCCATCTTGAATCCAGTTTGACAGCTGCGGTATACTGATCCAGGTGTACATGCACCGTTTCCTTTTGATTAATTAGGCAATTATGGTTGTTTGAGTTTTAAGTAACAGAATCCTTGTTCAGGATCTTCTTTGTGATGATTACTATTTTAAATATATGCATGTGCGAGAGTGATAGGATTTTGTTATTTTGTTGAACAGCGATTTTTAGGACTCGTGTTTGTGAATGTTTGTCATTGTTCTCAATTTTCGTTTTTGTAATGTTAAAAACAAAAAATATTAATATTTAATTAAAATTATAATTGTCGGCTTTTTCATGTGTAAAAATACACGAGTCATTGTTTATTTAATCTAAGCATTTTTAATACAATTTAACCACGCTGCAAATGAATTTTTTTAACATTATGTATTTACAAACAATTGTATAAAGCATTGTTTTTACAGAGAGTTACTACCCAATGGAGATCTCAATTGGGTTCACAGCGATGGCTAAAACTACGTGTATTTAGCTCTCAAGTATTATTCTCAGTCAAATCAAGAGTCTTGCATCATGTGATGGGCAAGCTAATGTTTACGCTCGGATCTGGTGATATTAAAACACTTAAAACTGCGATTCGCTTCCTAAGCACTCTTAAAGTTTTGTCAATGTCTCGCCACAGTTATAGAGCTAAAACTTAGGAGAGCAAACAAATATATTTGACACTTATCTTTCAACACGTTCATCGTAATTCAGTAAATATTGCTCTATTTTTCTCGTTGCGATAAGATATGGGAATTAAGATTTGGGAACAATAAAGGCCAGATTTTTGTTATCTTATCTTTACCGTGATTTGATGATACTTTTTCATTAATTAGGTCGTACACGTTTCATAGGGAAGTGTCACGTGTATGTATTCTTTACTGCCAACACGTTTATTTTGTCTCAGTAGCACACCTGAATTAAGAATTTCATCACATGACAATACATCCTGTGCTACAAAATACTCATTTATTTCCCACATGATGCATTTTGTTTCGGCCATAAAATGATCCTAAAATTGTATGAAATACAACGACAACCCTGGTGTTATTCAGCCTATGCTGAAAATCACTAAATTGGTTCACATTATGAAAAAATAATTGTTAAAGCGCAATTAAAACTCATCGTATTTATGATATCTAAACCCGACTAAAAATATAACAGGAAAATTCTTAAAATATGGGTCAAATTCAAATGATCGTAGCGTACGGAACTTCCATCCAAAACGATAAATTTTCTCCTCCAATAGATAGATATGTTCTCATTTCAACGGAATAGATGAATGTACCTCTTCGCATTTTTTATGCTGTCGAGTACCCTTAAGAATTTTTTAAATTTAAAATTAGCGGTGCTACATCAGCACATACTTTCTCGTATTACTTATAACGCTTGCAATTTTGGAATATTTGGAAAGTTGAATGAAAATTATACTTGCAAAATGTTTTAAGTATCATTGGTTCAATCTGTGGGGAAAAACGTTAGAGAAAATATTTTGAGTCATTTTCAGAAAATGTTTTCTTTGTAAACTGCATTAACTTAAAACAAAAATTATGTTTGATCGAAATCGTATCTTTTTTATGTACGGAAAACGGAAAAAATGGTGCTGGTCCCATTTTTAGCCAACTCTCTGTGTTGTCGAAAATCGCAAAACATTAATATTTCAAAAGGGCAACATTGAAGATAAAGAGTTATGCCTTAAAATAAGTTTTAAAAAAATAAATATTTTAAGAACGTCATGTACAATTTTTTGAAAAAAAAAAGTTGTCTTCGTGTGATTTCTGTTTGAAGTTAATCCAATTTATAAAACACACACTTTTTAAAAAAACAATTTCCAATTCTTTTTTTTTATTTTTTCCACGGATAGAACTCGAGACGCTTTATGGAGTGGCTTGTCTCATTTTTGTTGGAGTTTCTGAATTTTTTGAAATTGAGAAATAATGCGAGAAAGTATGTGCGGCGGTCAGCGTCCTACATCTTGTTTTTGTGATTACCTTCCAGATTTCACATCTGTATGGCCCACAAGTGTCTACTAGGTATAAGTGTGTCTTTTCGGACAATTTCCTGCATTTCTAACCAAAGACACTTTCATAAGTGATAGACAACTTCAAAATTGTATGACTAGTAAACCATTCAGTTACTTCTCAGCAGGCGTAGGATAAGAGAAGTGTTAAGAAACATATTGAACTCACTTGTGTATTGGTATAAATACTTTCCATAAATACCAATACACTATTCCTTCTTCAGAGAATTAAAACGTATTAAAACAACATATATTGTCTCATCTTATTGGCATACATTATGAAATATTATAATAATTGCAACTAAAACTTCATCACTTGAAATCAAGCACACTGACGCGGACATTTGAATGCTTTGAAGCGAAATGTCTGATATGTAATAGTTTCGGGCAGTGATCCAGGACAGTTGTTCACAATATCGGATCAGACCTCCGAACGGTCGAGCCGACCACTGGGAACAGACGAACTATTGCAAGCGCAGAATATAATATCTTTGCTAAAGAATCCAAACTAATTGAAAATGTGTGTTAACTTTTTGTATCAGGATGCCAGAAAAATATTGAAGTCGAATTAGGCCATTTTGCAGCAAATAATTTTTTGATTAGGGTTATACCTGATGAATTGATTTGAGAGTCTGATTTGCTATGCATTGTATAAAATTAGTTATTTATCAGAAAACAAAATCACCAGGCAAACTGCTTACGTTCTTTAGGATAAGCTTATCCCATAAACACGTCTTTTTCCTCTCAGGAACGTCAGCGATTATCTTCTTGTTCTTCTGCCGGAAAGCGACATACCTATAATAAGTTAATAATATATAAGATATAATAAATAAGAGTGTCTTATTTCGCTCGGTTGTGAAGAATTTGAAACCGTTGGTAGGCTCGCAATGGGCTGGGATTCAGGTTCTTTCTTTCAGCCTTTGCTAACGAGCGCCGTTGCCCACTGTTTATCCACCATTGCGATATACCGACTTCAATTACATTTCTTTGACCGCGCAGACTTGAATTTTATTCATCTTCTGAGAAATTTGTGATGAATTATTCGCTGGAGTGAAATTTACGTTCCATAATCTGAATGTGAAACGTAGAAACTAAGCATATTTTCTATGGCTTGTGTTACGATAAACTTTTCATAAAACAAGTAATTCCGCAAAATTGTCGCAGACAAGTACAAAGAAATTTGCAACTGTAATCATGATGAAAAAGGAGATTATCACAAAATATGTTGAAATACGAATTCAGTAGAACCCCTGAATTCCGAATTCATTGGGAGTTTGGTCTGTTCGGATTATCCGTAAAATGAACCGTACAAATCACAAATACATGTATAGGATTACCAGACACAAAGCAACGTAGCATGCAATGTGAGAAAATGACAACTTCGCATAGCGATGAGGAAGTGGAAATGTTGCCGACGGTTCAGGACAACGGAGTACTGTACGAACGTAACCGATCACATGCGGTAGTAGATGCAACTTTGTTTAGAAGACTTGAAGCACAGTTTGTGACGCTGCTACTACGCGTAACCGTAATTCTTCGTACAGTATTCAGAATTGGGTTGACTTACACTGTGTTCATGCTTTTTCGTTCATAAATCAAGTTAATTCAAATAAGGTGTTTTTGGTTGTTTTTTCCTCCATTCCGTATGTTGTTCGGATTATCCAAATTTCGGATTTGCGGGGTTCGTATTAGCGGGATTCTACTGTACTATTAAATGAAATAACACGCTGGGGTCTCTAGCTGAATTCGAGAGTTCGGGGGTTTCTGATTGGGTGACCATCTAGGAACCCCCGAATTTTTATCATTTGTCGTTCGCAAAATTAGCATTTCTCAGTAATATATTCTTCTGCTGCTGCTACTTTTTTCTTAAAACTTACGTACAAATAAAATTCCCTGTTTCAGATTTTCTCTCTCCAGTCGTGCAGGTGAAGATGAAGAATGGAGAATCCTTCGGTCTTGGGAATATCAATTATAATGAGAGGTAGGTAAATAGCTTAATTTGGTATTGTAATAACGATGGAGATATAATAATAATATTAATAAGCATTGAATTTACATAATAATAATATTAAGAAAGCATTGAATTCACATAATAATAATAATAATAATAATAATAATAATATTTTAACTATTATTATAACAAAATTTAGAATTAGATCTATCTGACGAGGAACAACAGCAGTCCTCATGGCCGAACCACACCTTAAGAACCGCATTATTGTGAGCAGCCCGTATTTTGCGCAAAGTGTTACAGAGGTGATTTAGATATCTCCTTAGGACGCATAGAAGATTTTTTTAACCGGCCCTTAATATATTTAGTTCTGAATTTAGGGGCAGTATTATTATTATTATTATTATTATTATTATTACTATTATTAATAATCGTAATAATTATTAATATTAAATATAATAAAACTCATGATAATAAATAATTATAATTACATTAAGATTCCAGTAGTAAATTTTCTTATTTAAAATTAAGCTAATACAAAAGCACATATTTTTACTTTCTCGACAAAATGTCTGTTTGGCCGGCCGTCAGTGCGTCCGCCCACCCGCCAGCCCGTGAGTCCGTCACTCTGTCCCTGTCTGTCAATCTGCCTCTAAAAAAAAAACCTAGACCAGGCCTACAAAGCATTTTGCACTTTGACTGACCCTGAGAGCCACGCGCGAGCAACTTGAATGCAAACCCGGGCCGCGTGCATGGGTGGGGATAAGACACATTCTAGGAGTGGGGACCGCCAATGAGAATGCGCAATTCGAATCGCAGCGCGGAAATTGAAAGAGCAATTGCGAGAATGACGGACTATTATATAGGCTGCAGTTCAAGTATCATTACTTTGTATTTTGGAAATATTTGTTGTCAATATATGACAATGTGAAGTATGAACCTAAAACGATTTAGACATATTTTATTTGGATACCAGTATTATAATTGCTTGTAGGGTTGATAATGTAATTTGCTTGGCTACGATGTAATCCACTGTAAGAGTTTAGCGGGCAGCTCAATACATAATTGTGATATTAAATCTTTTTTGTTTGATGATGTCAATAACAAATTATTTTTTCATAAACTATGTTTAATTAAGACGGTTCTACCAAAGCAAAAAATATTCTTAAAAATCATGAATACTCTCTGGTCTAATTTCTGATAAGAGTACATAATATATTTTTAATTTTAAATTAACGATCCCTATTTATTCATAATCGTTTACGGCATCGAATAAAAAAAGAATATGCCCTTGCGATCTATTATACTCATAATGAGGTCAGATGGCCCGTAGAATATCGTAAGAGGTTGTCACAATGGTATCCCTTATTCAGCGTCACAGAGAGGGGAAATGATCACAAATATATAGGCTGCCGCACATTATCCTTCACCGGATTGCCTATATTTAATTTTTATATCAATCTCCATGTGAGAACCCAGTCAATTTCCTTCGTTTTGCTGTTATTTGGAGATTATAATATTCCTGGTGAAAAATTAATTAGTATACTGTAATGATTTGTTCGCTAAAATTACGTAATACTTTTTTAAACGATACCAGTGGATTAAAATATTAAGTTACAATGAGCACAAAGTAAAAATATAATAAACATATGTCAATACATAGACCTGCACAGAAGAACATAAACTGTGAAATATGGCTCTTGTAGCAAAAATACTAGATTGCCCATTTACGTAAGGGGGCAAATCATTTCACAGCATAGATTATTGCATTAGACGTCCAGGCATTCAATCTACGCACCGCGTCGACCCCCCTCCGGCTTCTCCCGAAGCTGCATAGTCCTTACTACGCGCACTTTCGGCTCTCTCGCGGGCAGACGGTCTGCTCGTTAGTGCAGAATGCCCTCAGAAGAAGACGTAGTGCAGACCTGCCCTAGCCCCTAGTCGATTTTTCCTGTGAACCTGGAGAGCACGGTTTATGGCTTCATAACGTTATCAAAATTGTCATCTGATTCAAATTTTCTTTGGTCCTCTTCTTCCATAAACGGAAGTTACGTGACCTATGATGGGTTTTCATGTGAGAATATACCCAGGGACGTTTTGCGTTGCTTTCTGTGAGCGTCTGGGATGTGACTCACTTTCTCCGCCAGATATCGGTCCCAGTTTCTTTATCCGAACTGTGTGGTTGGGAGAAAATGAGATCTCGATAGGGCGGATATTGTCGGGGGGATTTAATTTTGCCGGGCTTCTGCCTGGGTTCTTTTACACGCCACAAGCGTGACATGGCTACTATGAATCTTCTGCCCTTCAAAAATCCTGGCACCTCGTCCGGGATCGAAACCGCGCACTACGGGTCTAGAGGTCAGGGTCCAACCCTTTACCCACCGAAGCCCCTTTGCTTCAAAGAGTAAGCAAGAAAATCGCACTTTTCGATATAAGAGAGACATACATTTTTTCTATCGAAAAATCGGCACTGTTTGCTGCAGATTGTCACACTTATGTACTGTATACGAGAAAGTAAAAAGTGCCAGATGTAGCCCAATCACTTCTTTGAAGACGATTGCCTAAAACGCGTTCTGATGTGGTGCTGTCCAGAGAGCGCGGTGGCAGGCGAGCTGCGGGAGGCAACGCGCCGGGGCCAGTGGCGGCGGAAGCGGAGGCGCCGTCTGACAGGGTCTTTACTCTGCAACTGAGCAGCGGCGCAGCGGCCGGCGCGCCGCCCCAAGGCTATGCCACCTCGGAGGAGGGCCGCTACGACCCTCACCAGCACCGGGATCTGAACGCACCGACCACGTGAGTACTCTTCCAATCTCTCCGAACGTATTTTCTCCGTTTAAGGCAATAAAACAGCTTCAATGTAAGCAGGGAAGCACTTTCATAAGTACTTTGTTCTTGCGATTGGCTCTCTAGGACCACGCGGGCGTACAACTGCACTTACCGAGGCTCAGTAACATTTATTCCGGGGCAAGTGTATGTGATTCCTTTTTGCGGGGATCAGCATTATGCTGAATCCAAATTTTATCCCCCTGGGTTGCTAGCCCTGGGGGGGTGGAAGATGGAATGATGGTGATGTTAATGAAGGATGAATGGACCACACCCACAAACATACACAATCACCTCCATGCCCGAGGCGTCGAGGTGTTTCCGTCCGGGATTGCCACGGCACAACTGCGATCGGCTGCACGGCGATCTCGGCTATCCGGGTGGGCCTTCAGCAATACTAATATATTAATATCCAGTTTTGATAAATCACGGCTATGAAAGTTATTCAGACCAAATACAAGCAAGAAATAATCATGGAGGTCGACGTTTGTTGGGTGCTGATACGTATCAGCAGCGTCTTTCTACAACTACAATATTCCATACGGAGATTTTTCCTTAATAAAATTATTGAAATAAGGTCATCAACAACGTTTCGAAAATATGAGTAATTTCCATGCAATTTTGCGTGAAATGTAGGTAATTTGTAAACAATTGTTTTCTCAAAAACGGCTCTAATTTTTAAAAAAATTACTCGTACGTGTTAAAGAAAGTAGTGAGAAAGTGAAGAAATTAAATCAACAAAGTTAGAGAGATTTTTTTTTAAATTTTGAAAATGTTGTTCAGCCTTCATGTAATGAATCCCAAAAATCAAAATATCTGTTTCTAACTCGCTGGGCCTCGATTTCGTTGAGATCGGTGGGGAACAACAATTTTCCAGAAAATCGTCTGATATATTTAGGCCGTAGCGTTGACCACAGACAGACGGACGGGCGGGCGGACGGACAGACAGATATGCAGATGAACAGACAGATATTTTTGAGTCAATTGATTTTTCGGTATGTCAGACCCACAAAACATGGATTTTGACTACACAGCGTGGTATAGGAAGTAAATTTACTACATATAGAAACAGGATTTATCCATTGTTCCATTTCCAGAGCGCGGCAATAGGAGTTTTCTACCGAAAAATCGGCGTTTACCTGCGCACGGCTACAGTACTTTCTGTTGTCACGTATTATTCACATAGTGTTTAAGCCAAATATAGGTGAAAATTGATCTTTGTTCTTTTTGTGGAGCTGCGTAACCCCAAGCGAGCCCTGCCCGTCGCGCGAGCGATGACGAACCTTCGCTCCGGCGCGGGGGGCCGCGGCGCCCGCGGCCGCGGGGAGATCGCACCGCTGACGGCCGCCTGCCAGAGGGAAGGGCAATTGACTGCCATCCCGCTCTCCTCCCCTTCGCCCTGGCCCCGAGGAGCAATTCCGCGTCCCCTCGCTGGACGCGCCGCGTCGCGCCGCGCCACTTCCCCCGCGACGGACCGGCGTGTCATGCGAAGCGAGGTGCGGTACATCCTGTGCGTCATTTGGGCGTGTCATAAAGACAGATGCACGTACTCGTTCCTGCAGTTTCTCTCCGCCTCCCGGGGAGGCTGCTTCCAAGTGCTCAAAGTGTACGTCACGTGTCACGCAATTATTAGGAACTTGATTAGACTTGTCTTGTTGAAACCTTCTCTCCTTTTCTCAGGGAAGGATAGCATTTGTAGAAGGAAGTTACAAAATTTTATCTGCTGATACAGACTGAAACCAGTAATGAAAATTAAAGAAAATTACCGACAATTTACTCTATTTAAGCAAATTGACAACCCAAAGGGTGAGCGAAGGTCGCTGTCAGCTTGAGAACGAGGTGACGGATCGAAAGAGGAGCAGGGATTGGTTGGTCGGAAGAACAGATGAATGCGATAAGCACAGTCTGAACAGGACCAAGGGCGAAAGCTGGTCAACGATTATGTCACGCTCTTATCTTCAAGCAGAAAAAGTGCAATAATATTAAAATAATTTACAATTGACATCCTACGGAAATTGACGCGTGTTTTCACGTCCCAAGGATGAATGTTTAATTTAAATACCTTCGTGAGGGCGAGAAAATAAATTTGAGCAAATGCTTGCGATATATTCCCATTTTTCCACATGTACATTCCTGAATCGTCTTCCATATGAAGTAAAATGTTTTAACTCAAATTTTCTTGTGTTGTCGAGAGGAGAATTCTTGTTATTTTTGTGTTTTAATGCTGAACGTCATTACAAAAAGTGAGAAAGAATCGTACATTCCTTCAACCTTACGACCAATTCATGAAACGAACATTATTAAAATAAAAAATATTAACATAAGAAAAAACAATACAGCAGTATCAGCAGAGTTTTTTCAAAATATATAGTTAGTTAAAAAGTTATTATTTAATCGTGTAGGATTTTTATTATTACAGCCATTCTGAACACTTGTTTGAGTGATAGTTTCGTTTTTTAACGCTTATCGAATATTTATAAACAAACTTCGAAACCGGCGCCATGCGTATTCACTTCCTCCTAACTCCTGGGTTCTTATGTAGACAGATCTCAGCCCCCAACAACAATATTTAAAACATAAATTTTTGTATCTAACTAAGATTGTTCTTTAAAGACAGTCCGAGGCATTATATAATTTTTCGTAAATTTGAATAGTTTCCGTGTAATTTGCTTGAAACAGGAATTATTCAGCAATTATTTTCTCAAGAATGGCTCCAATTTTTCTTTAAATTTTCTCCTCGTATGTGTCAATGAACGATAAAAATAAGTGCTAGATAAATTTTCGGCAAACTCTCTGGATTTTCAAAAATTACAAAAAATTAACATTTCCAAAGTTCAATATTGAAGGTAAATATTTTTATCTTAAATGAAATCCATTCAAAAAATCAGATCTTTAAAATAAGGTCATGTACATTTTTTTTTAACACGAGTAGTCATGTACAATTTTTTAACACGAGTTAATGCAATCTATAAATAAATTCTCAAGCCCAGCTCTAATTTTTTCCTTACAATTTTTTCACATATAGAGGAAAGAGCTCTTAAAAATGGCGCATGTCTCATATTCGACAAACTCCCTGAATTTTTGATTTTTTGAAAAATTAGAAATAATGCTCATAATAATAATTCTCATCCTTATTACCTCATCCTCCACTGATTACTTCTCCTCCCCCTCCTCCTTCTCCTCCCCTTCCTCCTGCTCCTCCTCCTCCTCCATCTACTCTATATTCTCGATGACCCAACTAATACTAATGTAGCACTCGTGATTTCAGCACACTGCAACACAGAGCGGGTAACATATAAACGTCAAGTGGGTTGCGTCAAGCAGGATGACAGCGATTCAAAGCGCTCAACTACTTTTATAATACCGAATACACAACCGTTTCTAATAACACTAGTATGTAAGTACTGCTGTAGCATCATTAGTTTGCAAAACATCTGACTGTATGTAGCTATGACTAGCGCCTATACCGTATAAAATATATTTTCCAAAATACATATACACCGAAAGATCTAGACGAAATCGAGGCCCTCCGAATATGAAACACCATTTAATTTTTGGGTGTACTACAATGAAGCCCCCATGATACATTAAGTATGATGCAGTTACATGATGCACCTATGATATTTTAGAAACTTACTCGGGAGTAAATTTAATTACTTTAAATATATTTTTTTCGAACAGATCAAAGTACGCTTATTCAAAAACCACAGGTCCAATTATCATAAAAGTCACAAAATAGCAAATCATAAAACAAATTATCGACCCTCTCCTAGAACAACATTATTGAAGACATATTACTTTCCCGCCCTTCGTAAGAAGAGAAAGTATTCTAATAGTGCGCCGGAAAACCGGAGAAAACAGGAATTTTTGACAGAAAAATTCATAATTCTCGGCTCCTTGTCTTGAAAAAGGGCATAAATCATGTTCATATATAAAGTAAATTACTTCTAACGTTAATGAAATCCAACGCGTGGTGTAGCCAGAATCCATTTCTTGTGTGCCATTGATACCGAAAAATCGATTGACAGCGCAAATATATCTGTCCTTCTCTACAGTTTCTAAACAGTTCAGCTGATTTTCTCCAAATTTGATATTTCGCGATCAATCTAAACGAATTTGAATATTTGGGAGTTTCAAATGGTTATTTTGACGTTTGAGGGTGTTTTACATAAAGATTTGAAATCATTTTCAACATTTTCACAAACATTTTTATAAATTTTGTATTAAACTTTGTTCTCGGATAGCGTAAAGAACCACTGAAGACAATGGTGCATGTCTCATGTTGGTTGAAATCTCTGATTTTTCAAAAACTACAAAAGTGCAATTTTCTTCGGCGTCTTCCTACAACTACAAGACTGAAAATAGAGATTGTTTAATGATATCTTTTTCTTAAAGACTCATCTTGAAATAAGGTCATGTTCAATTTTTTGAAAATGTAAATATTTTTGGCATTCTTTCGCGCGAAATATAGGTAGTTTTTAATGTTTTAAATATTTTTTCTCTGAAACGGAACGCTTTTTTTCTGTAATTTTTTCTTCGTATGTATCAAGGGACGGTAAAAAATATAGTGCTAGTTCCATTTTCGGCGAACTCTCCGTATTAACACTTCAAAACTACAAAATTGAAGATAGACTTTTGTCTTAGGCAACGTCTGTGGTAAAAAGTCAGCTCTTTAAAAAATGTCATGTAGAATTAAAATGGCTAGGTTCTATCTCCATTACGAGTAAAAGCTCTAAAATTTCGAAATTTACAAAATTTCAATTTTCTGTTCGGTGCTGGCACTGGTAGCTTTATGATTGCGCTGCCAATGCCAATGCCAAGGGTCGACTCCCATCCTGGGCTACTATTTTGCGGAATGGAAATACCTTTGTGCCTTCATGTAGAATTATTACAGCATGTAACCGTTACAAACGGTATGAGAAAGTATTAGGCTTTAGCACAACTAGTTACTTGATGTGTTAGAGGAAAATGTTAGGCGTATGATTTGCAAAACTATAAAATTTGCATTGTATAAAAGCATAACACTTATTGAAATGCCGTTGAAATATATAAATCTTTTGAAATCCAATGCCTCGTGGAAGCGAACAATTGTCTCCAATTTTAAATGCTAGAGAGCATACCAAACCGATGAATTATTCCAATTTTTGTTGAAATATGCACTGGAAGAGCCAAATTTTTGTATGATCTGTAAGCACATGGAAACGCTTAGTGCTTGTGATTAGATTTTTTCGGATATTTGGCAAACTGTATACGTTACATTTATTTTGGTGTATATATGTTATTAAGAAATTAATGCTTAAAAACTATCTTAAAAATTGAAAAACGTTGCTCGCAACACTTCATGCATTAATTAATTAACTGTTTGTATGTATGTAAAGAATATCATTCCTGGAAATTTGAAAATTAAGTTCAACTTTCAAATTCCTAATAAATAAGTAAGAATGCATAACTAATAATAATTTAATTTCTTCCAGTAATTCAGAAACACTCATTCATTTACTTAAAGGAAGTTTGGGAACGGGCATTCTAGCCATGCCTAATGCCTTTTTAAACGCCGGACTAGTGGTTGGCTTCTTTGGTACGATTCTCATCGGCAGTCTGTGTACATATTGTATGCACATTCTGGTAAGTACTCATTTAATATATTCTCTAATTATTGGTCTTTATTTATTTAACACCAAAAAATAAAAAAAATACTTTTTGTAAAAATGAGTGATAAGTACTATTATAAGCGCAAATTTACTTGAGATACCAAATCGTTACCCCCGTTCTTTGACAATACGTCGTTATCTTCTTGCTTTGTCGTATCCACTTCACAGAAGAATATTACGTAATGTTGCAGGAAAAAGCGACAGTAAAATTGTGTTTGTGGCTTTTTGATGCAGAAAAGTGCGCTTTTTCCTTTTGTATGTAATAAATAAGAAGAAAACTACTGTCTCTTGTCAAAAATCTTCCCAGCGTTAACAATCAAAAATAAGTTCTGTTTCACTTAACGTTCGCGAATCACAAGCACTGGATGGGGGAGAGAAAACGTATTTGCAATATCACAAAGCTGATGACAAGAATCAGAGTTTCTTACGTGAACGTTTGGGCACTTGGGCTAATAATGAAGGATCAGTCAAATAAATGTGGAATAATATCAAGCGTCTAATTGAAGAAGGTCTAAATATATTGGTACCATTAATTTTCTCCCAGCGAATCCTGACTCGGAGTATTAGAATACGATCAATAAGCGTCCTTTGATGCCTGAGGACGAAGAGCTTACAATAAGTGTAATTTAGGTTCAGCATAAAAATCGAAATTTCTGCATTTATCGGTACTACTAAAGCACGTAGGACTCATTCGTGCAATAATTTCTATCTAATGGGAGAAACAGCTGGAATATAATATTCATAAAAATTTGAGAAGGAGAAGGAGAAAAAGGAAGTGACAACGACGGAACTTTCATTTGTTGAAATGCTGCTACCGAAGTAAGCGTTTTCCGGCAGAAATTTATATACTGAGACCCTTCTATCAAAAAAATAATAAATAAATCTTGCTCCAATACGTGGTAAACTAGTAATTTCTCTAACACGTCGAGAAGTTAGAATGTTGTTTTGTTCCTTGTCTCCGAAAAATCGACAGACGGCAAAACGTCTGTGTCAGTCTGTCGGTATGTCTGTGGTCAACGCTATCGCTAAAACCATTCAGACGATTTTCTCTGACATTGATATTTTCTATTTGATATATAGACTTGGACGACCTCCATACCCTGCGAGTTTCAAACGAATATTTTGATGTGGAGACTTTAAATGAAGACTCAACATTTTCAAAATATTTCTCCAAAATGGCTTTAAATTTTTTTACTAAACTTTTTTCAGATACACATGGAGGCTTATAAATGGTACAGGTCTCATATTAGTTGAAATATATGTATTTTTGAAAAAAATCTAAAAAATCAAAACGTTCATGGCGCCGTCCTACGACTACAACATTGAAGTTAGAGATTATTTTCCTTAATTAAATATATTTTTCAATGGCAAATTTTTAAATAATGCTCTCGACGCTTAGAAAAGGTGCAGATTCTATTTTCGGCAAATATTCTGGATTCTCGAAAATTATAAACAAAAATTACCATTGTAAAAAACATTATTGATGGTAGTGTTTTTTTCTTAATGAAACCTGCCCATAAAAACTAGATCTTGAAGGAATATAAATTAAAATCTCTCAATACAAATTTTGACACGTTAAGCGCCGTTGAGGCGGTGTTCGTCTTTGATGCTGGAGCTATGGTAAACCCTGACGATCTGAGATCGATTCCCAGCGCGGAGAAAATAGTTTGCTGGGTGGAAACAGTATTGCAGGTTCATGTAGTATAATATTGCGAAGCCATTACATATAATGCGAGGAAATATGTGCTGTTATATGTGTGTAAACCACTAGTTTATAATTTATTGCATTTGGAAGTTTAAGTGCTTCTTATGGTTTTTTTATGAAGTTTTTCGAAAAATCAAAAGTTTATGTGAAAATGAACTCAAAATTGCGCATTTTGAGAAACGCTGAAACAATATTTCTCGAAAACGACTCCAGATTTTTCAATGAAATTTCCCTTTAGAATCAACTACTCTTTAATGATATTCATAAAGTAATATTTAAATTCTACAATATTGAGGAATGAAAAATTGAGAAAATTTGAAAAATGTACGTTTTTTGTATAAAACATTTCCACTCTACGGATATTAATTACATGAAAGTAAAAGAAATTAATGTGTTAATTGATCGTTCGGTAAATATTATATTTACATGGTCTGTAGATTCACTTTATTTTGAGAATGTTGTTCATTACTGAGTGTGATGTTGAAATATTTTAATGCGAAAGTAACTTTGCTGTGGAAATGAATGGTGTCAGAGTTTTGGTTAAGTAGATTCAATGTTACAAAGAACATTAAAGATGTGTGCATAAAATGGTAGGTGTTATTATATTATTGGTTTTATCAATTCATTATGTTGCAAAGCGATAACACGTTAGCGATTAGTACAATAAAGTCATTCGGCCTCGTAATACACAGGAATGGAGCAGGTGAACCAAAATACACTAAGACTGTAGCGTCGAAATCCATTGAAGGCGTGAATGCTTTCAGTTTTCTTGAAGGTGTAGGGGTGATTCCCAATCCCTCGTGGATACATCTGTACTGAAATCCTTCCATTATTTCTTGACCTGTCATGCATCTGAATGTGCAATTTGTGTGTGAATCTGGATCTCTACGCCGAGAAACAATGGCACTAGCGCCGAGCTAGGGATAAGAAATATGTGAAGGTACAGGCCCGAAATATGTTTATGAGATGTTCAGGATGCGCGAAGGAGCTGTGGGTGCCGCAAGACACCCTGAAAGAGTTTTAGACGCCGAAGAGAATAAGAAACTAACTAGTACGAGAAAGTCTGTGCCATTCGTAACACAACTACTTTAATTACGTAAAAATACATCATTTTTTTCTTATACTTCGTACATTCCATGCAGCGAAGTTAGTGACTGTTGATATTAAGGGACCCCCATGAACCGCAACCGTTTGTTTCGAGATTTTTGACTATTTTATCTTTTAATTATTATTTAATTCGATGAACACATACCTGGCCTGATGCATCTACCTCCTCAAAAGACTCCATGATAATATATTAAATATGTTTTCAGTATTTGAAGATATTGAACAGTTTTATATACGTTCGTCATATACAAAAATCGACAGTTGTTAAGCAGAGCCATCTGAAGCCACGGGACATGTTGCGATACATTCTCATATTTAGAAACGAAAGAAATAATGTGTTTGATCTTACATACTCCCCTCGAATTTCCCGATAGTTACATCCATTCTTTGGGATATTCAAAATGCTAAAATTAGTAAAGCAAATTAAAATGCTAATTTTAGTCTAATGATTTAACCTGTGTCACTATACACATTATATAGACCCAGTCTTTTTGTCCATTTTAAAAACATTAGTTTTGTTCTTTGTCAACAAACAAATTTTAAAAATATTTTGTTCACAAATTTTCGTTTAATATATTTGGAATGTTGTGTGATAAATAATGTTAAACTTAAAATTTGAATTAACTATTGTATTTATATTATATATTATTTATTAATGTATAATTAAATCTGAAATTCGAAATAGAGTAAATTATTATTCTCTGAAACATTTTATATCACAATTAAACTTATTACGATAATATACTTATATTTAGAGCAAATGATAATGTCGCACGTATTCTCAAATGTCCTGTTCATATTGAAGAATTACTGAATATCCATGTGTACTTCGCTGGCAAAACAATACTGGTTTTAGATGTAACTGTATTTGATTCAGCCACAGTAATTTCAGCTGTTTCTGAAATATCTTATCTTAAAAGAGCACGAAATTATTTTTTGTAACGAGTAACAAAACGTATTTAAAGTTGTAATAATTGTGTTCAAATTAATATCCAACAATGCACACACAAATGGCAATGTAAAATAATTACTCTCATTCTTTATTGCTAAGACCTCACACACTTTGTGAAATATTTTGTTATCTGAAAGTTTTTGAATTATTGATTATCTGCAGTGATTAAAAACCACACGTAATTAAGTTTTTAAAGCTCAATATCATAATCCTAAATACCTGTTGACGTTGCTCTAAGAGAATTGTACAATATCACCAAAACAGCAGTCGCTTCATTCATTCGAAATATGACAGGCCGCTCCGTTCTGTTGAATCCACATGCCTTTAAGAAACATTCTATAGCAAGGATCTTATCCATTTGTGACAAAAATTTATTTCATTGACGATCTAATTTGTTTGAAGAGGAATGAAATAATGCGACTGAGTTAGTGGTTAAAACATGTGATCGAACGAAAGGAAAAAATATTCACTTTTTTGTCTTTAAAACGTACATACTAGCATACTGAGCACTGGATAACGTATTGCATTTCAATGAAACCTAAAATTATATTTATTAACAATATTATAATAATTTTACGAAATTAATTACAAAATTACCGATAATATAGAGCGTTATTATATTTTGCTTGTATTTCTTTCAGTCCTGTGCGTCATTTGCTGGCGGGTCAGATTTAATGGAGATTCATTTCAGAGACAAAGTTTAAATGACTTGATTCATAGAAAGTAATATCTGCCCACAGATTCGCACGCAATATGAAATGTGCCGTCAGCTACGAGTACCAGTCCTGTCCTACCCGCGCACGATGGAAATCGCTCTGGAAAATGGTCCCTCTTTCCTTCGTAAAGCTGCTCCATATTCTGGGTAAATACACTTGAATTGTATATACTTTGTTATTAGATATGCTAAATTTCAAGAAAAAATTACTAACCTGAGGTTTGAATTATACGATCAGGGAGGTAACAACATTAACAAAATTTATTTAGCAACTTCAGACACATTCATACGGTTCTAGTACTTTTTACTTTTCACTAAATTAGCCCTGCTTTCGCAACCATGTGTGGTACCAGTAGACCGGGGCATCTGGCTCGGAAGAAGTCGGTGACCAGTCCGTCAAGCCACGTCGGCGGCAGCAGGCAGAACTTCCACGTCGGCCTCAAACCGCTTTCCTACCGCCCAAGTGTTCTTCAGTAGCTCAAAGATGGAAATCGC